TTACTACCTCTACCGCAATAGCTTTTCACTAGCCTACTCATTTAAGACAACTGTGCACAATATTGAGTTGTTTAGATCAATGAACAAAACACAACTTCATCGAAATCATTCAATGATCAATAATAGCTGGACAAATATTGGCTCATATTTAGTAGTCAACTTAATGTAAATCTCATTGAGTCTGACTTTAATATAGAATGAAAGTCAGACTCTGTTTGTGTGTGTTAAAAAAGAATATGAATATCCCGTATTTAATCTTTTATAAGATTATAGGTATTAGCTTTTGGAACTCAGAACTCCGCCTTTAGCTCTTCTAGAGTTACTGCCAGTCCCAAGCCCAGGTAAAGGAGGAGGATTAAGCATGGGGTTAGCGACTCCATCCCGTAGAAAACTAACTCGCTAAAAAAAACACTTACCAGAAAAAAATAATTCTGGAATTTATATACTAAAATGAAACAGACCTATAGTACTTTATTGTTTTCAATGATTCCTTAATTGAAATTTATTCTTGATAATAAAATAACCCTAAAGAAATTTCTTAGTTGAACATTTCAGTAGTACACATATTTGATATTCATCAAATTTTATGACCTATTCTCATCATCATATTGGGAACTCATTATGTATTCATGAATTTAGAGAAAAAAAAAAGAAGTACTTTATCCTGTAATTCGTTTCGTTGGTAACGTAACTACATCTGTGTACTGACATTCCATTTAACATTTATTAATTCACATAGATATGTATATCCAATGAATTACTCTCAAGGGTAACATAATTTAGAAGTATATCCAATTAGAAGTAATGATTATATGAAGTGATAACTTAGTTCACCCCACCGATATCATTATTATTATTATCATTGTCGTTGTTGTTGTTGTTGTTGTTAAGTCGGTTGAATGAGAAAATAAAGTAACGAGAGAATGATGCATTTTATGATTATCATTATTATTATATACATATACCTTGACTTTATAATGATGAGAGTCTAAAGTGGTACATGAAAGTGGGAAAAAAAGGGAGGCGGTGATGATATGTGAAATGTTTATCTGCTCTTTTTTATTGTTGCAACTTTTTACATTTGTCTATATCAGTAGTCGCTAAGTTAACTTAGATGTTGATTTGTATCAAGGAAAAAAATGTAGAAAAAAAACATTTGTGTTTTTATACTTCTGATTCTTATTCTTATTCTTATTACCTTAAGTTTAAACATACCTTTTTAATTATTAATTAACATTAGTTGATGAGTTCTGGTTAACGTTTTTTTTAGCGAGTTAGTTTTCTACAGGATAAGGTCACTAACCCTGTGCCCAACTCTCCTCCTTTATCCGGGCTTAAGACCGGCAGTAGCCCTAGAGGAGCTCTAGGCAGGGCAACAACTTACTGCGAGGGAGAACAGACCAGATTTCAGCCGAGGAACAAATCAGGAAGAAGCGATGGAAGTGGATAGGATATATATTGAAGAAAGCACTCAACTGCATCACAAGGCAAGTCCTCATTTAGAATCCTCAAGGCCAAATAAAGGAAAAGAGGAACACCAAAGAACACATTACTCCGGGGAATGGAGACAGACATGAGAAGAATGAACAACGAATGGATAGAACTACAGAGGAAGGCTAAGGACAGAGTGGGTTGGAGAATAATGGTCGGCAGCCTCTTATCCACTGAAGGTAACAGACGCCGGAAAAGTTTCATACTTTAATAATAAATAGATAATATTATTCTGGTTTTATTGTTGATTTAAATATCGTTAATAGACACTAGTCTTCTACATATTCTCACATTTTGCATCTATTGAATGAATTTTTTAAATGAAACTCGTTACTTTCTGTTGAGTTATTCCATAGTTTATTATTATTCTAGTAGTTGATTTCATGAGTCAGTTGAAGATAGACCACCATGGAAAGCCTGGAAGAGCTGAATGGCCGTTTCGTCCTAATATCGGACTCCTCAGAGGTGCGTATCCACGATCCCGGCAAGCGAGGTTCGAACCCAGTACCTATCAGCGTTTAACCTCTACACCACTGAGTTAGCATCCAAAGGTGTTAATATCTAACTTCAACCAATCCACGAATTTGCGCCACCGTTCACCATTGTCATCAGTGAGTTACTATCTCACAACGGGCCCGATTGAACTTCAGTGGTCCCTACTTCTCACTAACATTCGTGGAAACCTTTGGTCCAAGCGCTGGTTCAACAACCCTTACTTCCTCTTAAAAGAATATAGTGATAATATGGGATGTTCAGTATCTTAGTTAATTATATGTTACCGCCCACAAATCTATTATATGTGGAATTTGTTCAATATATATATTTCAGCCTAGATTTATATTTTCAACGGCATCTATCAAAACTGACTTTTATTTTGAATAAAATTTAAGTAATATAATCGATGTTAGATGGTTGGAGGTAGTCAAGAGAAAATTGTGGAACTAGGTTTCATGTTATATGGCATTCGACAGTATGACTTACCTCCAACCTCGAGAAAATTGATGCTTTCTGTTAGATTCGAATGAGAGACACTTATCTTTACAAGCTGACACTTTATTACTCAGGTATCTAACCCTCAACTCTAATAATGACTATAATTGGAATATCACAGAGTTTATCAGGAGATACTCATCAATGATGCATGGTATCTAGTAGGGAATCTATGATCACAGTTTTCTTATGATTATTTGTAACCATTAAACATTAAAACAGTTTAACTGATCTCTAGGCACGTAAACTAGTGATCATACTACAACTTGATTGATTGATTCCGATTAACATTAAAAAGGACTCAATAAACATGACATATTCAATGGTAATGACAGAGTAACCGTATTTTTCTTAGCAAATTACTGGTAAAGCAATCAAATTTCAAACTAATTAAGCGAATATTCGACTTTCTTAATTATAACCCTATACATATACACACAAGAAATTTTCATATGTTGGAAACAATCCACACATCTAATATAGTTATGAAAAATATTATCAAAAATGCTAATGATCTGGATCAAATGTAGTGGTTCAAAGGGTAATGTACCAATAGTCAAGTTTAAGAAATGATCCATTTGTTTAACAAGAATAATTTTTACTGCATATTTTGATTTCCTAGATCTGTCATACATTTCAAAGAATCTATATAATTGAAATAAAGAGTATCCCTTTTAAACTTGAAAGAAATGAAATTATATATGAGGAAACGGTGTATAAAGCATTCTAAGGAAAGATAGATAGTGGATAGGAGTGGTGAAATTCAGTTTGACGCGTGTTTTTTTCTATTTTGGACTTGTCAGTTAGATTTACTAGCATCACAGAGTTGATGTTCACCCTGGGACTCGAACCAAGTACTGTTCGCTTCAAATGCCATCACATTATCTACTTAGCTACTGAATGCTGATAGCTACTTGTTTGTGCAATGGGACGAAGTTTAAATTCATTCGATATGACGAGTCTCAAATGGAACGAAATGCGTGTCATACTGGATTCCACTTTTAGCCACTATTGATCTATGCTTTTAATGCTTGTGAATTTCGAGGCTATGCGTACAGTATGCACATATGCTAATAAGTAACTGATCAATCGCAGTCTTAAACATCAATGGAAAGATTTAAATAAACAATACTAAGTGAATTTAGTGCATGAATTAATTTATTTATAATCTGTTAACAAAATTGATTATTGCTGAACGACAGTACCCAAATGGAATTGTAATTCACATTGATCTCAGTAACAATAATAATAATAATCACTTTATTTCAAACTAGAAACGTTTTTACTGTTAGAAATTTTCGGCACTAATCATCCTATTCTACAATAATCCTTTTTTTTGTAAATACTTTGACTGTTAAAAAAGTCCAAAAAAATATATTCCTTTAGTTATTTTCCAATGGTCATTAAACTTCAACTGCTCAACTTTCCATCCAGTTCAGATGTTACAACTATTTTCTCCACACCGACTACCACGGAGCGTAATGCCTACTGGTGTTGGGGATGGTTGGGAGAAAGTTAGGGGTAGCCAAACCATAACGTGGCATCAGTCCATAAAGTCACTAACTTCTAGTCTGAGCCATGTTGGTAGATGCAGACTACTTGGTTGGGGTCCATGTGACTATCGTAACCAATGGTTGGAGACTGTGGATGACATGTCTCAGAATCGATCACAATGGTGTCGGTGTATACACTCCTTGTCTTCCCTTAAACTAAGAGATTGAAACCGCTTCATATCTTTATTTCTATGAAGTAACTCTTTCTTCCTGTACTATATCCTTATATGCAATCTTTCTTTTATATATTACCACCTCTGAATTAATTAGTTTTATGAATCTGGTATTCATCTTGTTGTGTTAATGAGGTATGGCAACTTGGACCGATGCATATATGTGCCTGGTCCTACGTTGTAGCTGACTGACTGACTGACTGACTGACTCATCCATGATTTATTGGATGAATAAATGTAGTCACCTCTCAATGAATCAATTAGTAGACAAACAGGAAAATTTCTCAATAAATGCAGTGCTTCTATAAGAGTTTTTCAATATTTAATATCTTGATAAGTTATGAGATTCTATTAAAACTGTATAAGTGCATACCATTGAAAGTCGTATTTATTCAGTTAAAACAAAATCTACAACTTGAACATTTGTTGCAATATATTCATATTATTGGAAAATGGATGACTTAAACAGTTGTGAATGAGACACTAGTAGAATCATTGCTTTTATTTAATGCTATCACATAATAGTCAATTTATAGTCATCATTCTGATTTTTGTTAATGTTATCATTAGAATTTTATAGTCGAATTCATGAGTCAATTAAAGATAGACCACCACTGAAAACCTGGAAGTACTGGACGGCCGTTTCGTCCTAGTGTGGGACTCCTCAGCAGTGCTCATCCACGATCCTACACAAGCGATTCGAACCCAGAACCTATCAGTCTCGAGTGCGAATGATTAACCTCTAGACCACTGAGCCGGTGTCCAATGATGTTAATGTCTAACTTCAACCAATCTACGAATTATTATTATTATTATCATTAGTAGTAGTAGTAGTAGTAGTAGTAGTAGTAGTAGTAGTAGTAGTAGTAGTAGTAGTAGTAGTAGTAGTAGTAGTAGTAGTAGTAGTAGTGGTAATGGTAATATCATTATTATTCTTTGCAGTAGTGTAAATTACAATCTTTCTTTTTATCAAATGATAAGTAGCAGTTGACATGAAATACAATAGTTAGATAAACATCTCTATACTTAATTCTTTATTCTGAATGGTCACTATAATGAATGTGCGTTCACATTTATACACTAGACACTAACTCACTACACTTGTGTATTGTGATACAATGGAATTTATATACAATCACATATACTTAAAGTTAGTTCTATCCTCTCATAAATTAGAGGAACAAATGGATAACAAATTCTGTGGAGACAATATCTACAAGAGTGATAATACTACTAGTTGACTACCTACCAAAAACCACAGTTACAATCAGAATAAAACTAACAGTAGGCAAAACCACACACACACACACACATACTCGTATTTACAGAAGAAATCTAGTCCAATGATAAATAACCACAGGGATGAAAGACTATTAACAACAACAAAAATAAGCGATGAGAATAAATAAAAAAAAGAAAGGCAATTTATCACGTTAAACCAATAGAAAATGAATGAAAGAATAATAATAATAAAAGAAAGAAAGAAATCTGTTTCCAACTATTACTACTCTCTATCTAATAGGAGAAAAAAAAATTTAGGGTGGAGAGGATTCATCAAAACAGAAAAGAACCAACAACAAAAAGAAAGAAGAAGAAAAGGGAACAGAAGAGGGCAATCTGTCAGAATGAATAAAGATTCATCAACCCTACTATCTTTATTATTGAAGATTTGAAGAAACTGTGATGAAAGTATTATCACTTTCAGTATTGTGAATACTAACAATAATGATGATAACAAGAACAATGACAACAACAACAACAAGTCTACTCATGTCTATTCAGTAATTGAAAAGTAAATAAATAAAAGAAAAAAAGATGTAAGTCAACAACAAAATCCTGATACTGATGCAACAACAAAGTCATTGCATAACCATGAACTGAATATATATATATATATATACGTGTATCTATGCTAGGTATATAGTCGTTAAGGCAAAGAAACTGATTTATCATATGAACAGAATGAATACTACTACTACTAATACTACCACTACGAATCCATTTATATGGAATCAATTAATGCATTACATCACAAATCATAAACAACAACAAACCATCAATAATGATCATATGGATACAAATATACTTAATCATTCTTATTATCCATCTATGAATTCAATAGGAATTATATCAAAAGATTCATTATCATCAATTGATTATGATTATGTAAATAATAAAGAACAAATGAATACTGCAACTATGATGACAATGATTATGAATTCAGAGTTGATGATGTCAATGTCTAATACAAAACAAAATACTGTAAATAATAATAATCATAATAATAATAATAATCAACTATTAACTTCACTTGCATCATTACCAATCACAACGAATACAACATCTTCATCATTGTCACCAACGACTTCTGTTTATCATCATCGTCAGTATTATCATCAAACATCTCCATCTTCTTCACCTCTTTCTCCTCTTCCATCACTTCATCATCAACATCGTTATCATCATAATCATAATCATTTACATGTGAAACGTCCAATGAATGCATTTATGGTATGGTCACGTGGTCAACGACGTAAAATGGCTCAAGCTAATCCAAAAATGCATAATTCTGAAATAAGTAAACGTTTAGGTATTGAATGGAAATTATTAACAGATAATGAAAAACGTCCATTTATTGATGAAGCTAAACGTTTAAGAATGAATCATATGAAAGCATATCCAGATTATAAATATAGACCAAGAAGAAAACTAAAACATTCAAGAAAACAAGAAAAATTTACACAATCACAACCATCACTACTACTACCACCACTACCACCACCACCACCTATTCAAGGTAAGTAATGTAAATCAATAATACTAATGATATTGATAATGATAATCTTGTTTACAAAGGTAGTGGTTACTAATACCAATAAAACTATCATATTGATCAACTCTATACTCAAATGAATAATATCCGTTAGTGAAATCATTCAATATTAAGAAATACTAGAAAGTTGTTTTTAGTTACTTATCACTATGGGGTTGTGAAGATTATTGAGTTTTGTTTGACATTATGAACCGATTAATGTTAGACTAACATTGTAAACCTGGAAACACTGAATGGCCGTTTCATCCTATTGCGGGACTCTTCAGCAGTGCTCATTCATGACCCTGCACGAGGGATTCAATTCATGCGAGCAGGATTTTAGGTTATTATTTGAAAAATACTTTAATAATTTAATGCGCTAAACATACTAATAGTAACAATACAACCAGAGAGAACTACAAATCAAATTCAGTCTCCGCAAAATAAGCTGCTAATCACTTATGCTTAATTATTTCCGAAGTTCGTTAATAAAGTCGTTTAAATGGACCATGAAAGCTTCATGATTAAATGATTATAGAGGGTTCACAAACTTCCTAACTTAAGTATATTTACCGCTGTGTATCAGAGATGTGAATTACATGTCAGTTTCCGAACCTATTATTTTGTCTGATCACAGTCTAGTTGAAAAGCTTGTCTTGCTCTTATTGACCACATCGACACTGAAGTCTGTTATATATTTAAGTAAATTAACCAAATGAAATTCATTGACTTTTATTGTTCACTTGAAAGCTATTCGCTATCCATAGGGCTTTATTCATTTTATTCACTCACTCTTTGGACTGTAAGTATTCAACATTTCAGGTAATATATAGCTTACTTCACTCATTAACTTTAGCATGACAGTCATTTAAAACCATGGAGCACTGAATAGGAGTAATGTCTCAGTATAATTCTCTCCAACAGCAAACACACGTCATTCTGATGAAGGTACTTAGCATTCAGCAGTCTACATATCAAAATAACATAGTCATTACAATTTTATAGTTGAATTTATGAGTCAATTAGAGCTAGACCACCATGGAAAAACCTAGAAGCACTGAATGACTGTCACGTCCTAATATTGGACAATACAGAAGTGTGTATTCACGATTCTGTACGTAGGAGTCGAACCCACGACCTGTCGGCTTTGCGAGGACGCTTAACCTCTAGACCACTGACCCGGCATTCACTGGTGTTAATGTTTAACTTTAACGAATTCACGAAGTTGCGACACCGTCCATCATTGTCTTTAGTGGGTTACTATTTCACAGAAGACCTCGCTGAACTTAACTGACCATGCCTTCTCACTAGAACTCTAGAAAATACCTCTTAAAACCAGTCACTAGTGACCAGATGATGATTATTATCCTCATAGGGTTTTGTGAAAATTCATGCTAGGATGAATTGGCCCTCCAGTGCTTCCAGGTTTTTCATGGTGGTGAATTCAACTATTAAGTTACTAAAATCTCTATAAAACCTCCTTCTTTTAATTCGTCATCAATTAACGTCAATATTGTCATTGAGCACATGACAATCCGATATGAGCAATAAACTAAATGATTAAAAGGAAATAACATCTGTGTAGTTCGATTAAGCTAAACTATTGTGAGTTATCTCATTTGTCAAAAGTTATTTGAACATTCCAGGAAAATTAGATTATTTAAACGTTTTAAACAAAAAAGCTTTGAAAACTGAATTTGACACAGTTTGTTAAATCATTAACTGTAAGTCATCATTTATGTATGAAAACTTCAGAAAACAAGAATGAATTCCAAGCTGTTCTGTGACGGTTTAAAATCTAGTGATGTAATCATTACATAGAACGTTTACGAAAGTCTTGGATTCTACAGTCTTTCGAGTGATGAAATCTGTTCAAGAATAACACCGTTTTTCAAAAAGACTGATTATTGACCTAAAACAGATTATGCAACTATCAAATTTGATATACTACTGAAATGAACTAAAGTGTTATCTTATGAGTTGTGTTTTAAAGACTTCATAATTCAAGTTGGTGACATCTTAGTTAACCATCTTAATGTTCAACGAAACAAGATAAGGGTTAAAATAGTTGTGTTAATGCACTATATTTTACTCTCACATTTATGTAGATATCGGTGAGTGACTGGAATTAATCCGATAACTATTTTACATCTTAATGTGATATTCTTCATCAGTTGTGTATGCCGTTCACCACACAGAGGATATAGCTTTGGAAATTCCTATTCCACGGTCCAAGCAACATCCATGGAATTATAATTCAATGATTCATCTGTTTTTAGAGTCAAGTTAATTTCTGAGAAGGAATCTGAGTATTATTGATAAAATAATAATAATCTAATTGAAACTACGATACAATGTTGAAAACGTGGATGGTACTAAATATCCATTTCCCCTTAGTATGAGACTCCTCAACAGAATACATCAATGACCTCTTTCTGATTATTCGTTAGGGATGCATTATTTAGACATTTTCTTAAAGTATCGATTAGTAGTGATGTAATCAGTTTTTTTTTTCGACTGCGCAATAAAATTCATCGTTTTCCGGAGTCAATTCTTACATAAATGTGAACCATTGTACATATTATCATATATGTATATTTCCTTAGGGTTTGAATTTGATTTTCATTTCATATTTGTACTAACTGCAACAGGCGTAAGTAAAGTAAAGTAAAGCAAAGTAAGTAAGTGAGTAAGTAAGTAAGTAAGGTAAAGTACGTAGGTAAATAAGTAGAGCAATTTAGTAAGTAAGTGAAGTAAAGTAAGTATTCACCACAATGAACTAATTTACGAAAATTGATTTCGTCTTCCATATTAATGTCATGTGTTGGTGGAGTTAAATGACTTTCGAATTGTTGAATGTTATGGGTAAAAGAAATAGAAAAGTGGTAATATCGCTCATCTGTAAAATGAGATTACCTCTAGTTTATATTTAGCTAATAAATTAATGATGGAATTATGTAAATATCAGAATAGATCATCTATTGAATATTGTTAAAAATACCAATGGTTAACTTCTAAATTATCAATCTAATGGTATCATCCTTACTGTAAGAAAATAAAGAATCCCCATAATAATTACGATCCTTTCTTAATAGTAGATATGTCTTTTGTAATATCCTAATTAATAAAAAATATATTTCTTTCCCGGTTATCTGTTTACTCTGAAGAAGTTTCTCAAATTAAATGACGAAACATCGTCAAAATTAAAATTTTTTTAGTGATTGAGATATAATTAGAAATTGTATCTATTATTAACTTTCTAACCAATGATCAACTTATTTGAAATTATCAAGTTCAACCTTGGTATATGATCTTTTCTTATTGATCAGAGATATCACTGTTAAGAATAGGATTGTGAAGATGGTTGAGTTTTAATTAAGATCATGAATTGAGCACAAAGTTGAACCATCATTAAAAATGTGAAAGTATGGGATGAACATTTCATCTTAGCATATTCTTCGATCTATTGTATTCTAATGTTGAGAATATTCGTCATTGAATATGTTCAGTGTATGTTAATTTGTTCAAATCTCTTGAAGACCTAACATATTATATACATAATTCATAAGTAGTATATTGAATTCAAGAAAAACTAATAGACATATTATTATTAAAAGAAATTGTTTTCTCACAAGATGGACATCTACAGAACATAAAGTTGTGGATGAAGTTGAAATTCATCTAATATCGTTTGCTTATATCTTCTCACTGTTGTTTAGCAGTGTAATTGATCAGTCTCTTATTGGTTATATATGCATTCTACGTAGACTGTCTCGAAATTACTCTCATTCACAAGCATTATTAATAAAAAGATGGATGGTGGCTAGCAGTGGAATCCACGACACACATTTCATCTCACAAAGCTTGTGACTTGAATTAATATTAAGGCAACACGCATAGTATGCAAATATGCCAATAACAGACTGATCAATCGCAATCCTAAACATCAATACAATGATTCAAACAAACAATACGAAGTGAATGTGAGCAATAACACTTCAATAATTAAATCATTCAAATGAATATCATTGATCGATCGTCAATAGTAAGATCATCTACATAATTATTATCAGTAATGATCAATGGTAAAACTATATATCACATTAGTGAATCAGTTCGAATCAAGACGGAAGATTAGTTTTCTGTGGATAACTAAAACAATACGATCTGTATTGTTTTCAGTGTTCAATAAATCGGTTGTATCCAACATTGCTGAATGTATTTTCTTCTTGTTCATTCAATGGTTGAGTACAACATCAAGTTGTCATTTCAATTTTATACTATGAATCCCACTCATATTTGTGATATTCATTCAGTATGTTAGATTATGTAACAGTAATTTAGTCATATCTGACAGCTGAAAATAACTACAGACACTTGAAATGTCACTCTTCAATATCCAGTAAGTACTCGCTAAATGAACAAAATCAATAGTCGATTATTCAAGATGTAAAACATTGATTGAATGTTGTAGATAATGTCACTCCACTACGTGTACACTTTGTGAAGAACTCCATGTAAGTGATCGTGATTCAGGATTTTGTTCTCTGAACTGAATGGTTTGGTCGTCGAGCTTTCATTGTTCGTCATTAGCACACAATTCAGATAGGAGTCTACCACAACGACAACAACAACAACAACAACGATGAAAGCTCTATGAATAAACAAACCATCCAGTTCAGAGAACAAAACTCCATCAAAATCACCCACTTCAAGAACCATAATTGTTATACCATGACTTCATTAAAATGACATCGTATGGTAGTGAGATAGCACTCACTCATCACTCTCCTTGTTCAATTTTCTTTTAAATTAAATCTTCAATAAAATGATATCGATATTGATACAGTGAAACGATAAAAGCACATTCTATAAGTTACATGTTCATGGAATGATCACAATTGTGATGCACATAAAACATTTCTAGATGCTTAGATTATTATTTTCTGTAATCGCATAATCGACGCCCAATCCTTTCCTTCCTA